ACCGATTACAATTCATTAAATCAGCAGCAAACAAGCCACTCTGACACAAGGCAGCAGCAGTCGCAGAAATTACTCCTCCAACATTTCAGCTCGGAAACAAAACCCAATCAACAGCAATTGACACCCCAGCACCAACAGCCGCTTCAGAATACCACCGGTTCAATTGCGTCTGCGGCACTTGCCACTGGAACCGGAAACGGACCTTCGACAGGTAGTGGACTTATAAATCTGGCGAACGCTGCTGGTCAGCCCATCAGCGGAAATGCCAAATCGCATGCATGCACGCACCATCAGGTGGCAACAACGGAAGCACACATTCCTACTCTGCTTGGAGTGACACCGTTAGGCCCAACGCCACTCCAGAAGGAGCATCAAATGCAGTTCCAAATGATGGAAGCCGCGTATTATCACCTGCCACAGCCCATGGACACTGAAAAGCTGCAAACTTACTTTCATCGCGCACCAGTGCCTACGCCAGCGCATTATCCACAGGTGAGTTATTTTATTTACTAGTCATCGTTTATGCATAGATAACCATATTTAATATAAATTATAATCAAGGCACAGCTGCCAATATATGATACCGTTGAATTCTATCAACGACTCTCAACGGAGACCCTTTTTTTTGTGTTCTACTATATGGAGGGCTCTAAGGCGCAATATTTGGCGGCCAAGGCCTTAAAAAAACAAAGCTGGCGTTTTCACACAAAGTACATGATGTGGTTTCAAAGGCACGAGGAACCCAAAATTATCAACGATGATTACGAACAGGTAAGCAAGGCAACCCATCAGGGAAAGAGCTAGCTTATAAAAAGTATTGTTACCTTTCACAGGGTACGTACATCTATTTTGATTATGAAAAGTGGAGTCAGCGAAAGAAGGAGGGATTCACTTTTGAATATAAGTACTTAGAGGACAAGGAGCTGAATTGAAAATGTTGCGATGTGTTTTTCTTCGTTCGTATATAAGAAAATCAATTCATTAAAATAATAAAATAAACAAATACCATTTTAATACGAAATCACACATCCACAATCATAAAACATAAACCCAATAACAGTAAGCGAGAAAGAAATCAGGTAAAAACGCAAATATGCCGCTGTAAACATAAGTTAAAAGGAAAATAAACTATGATACTTATTTGAAATGCATGTAAAAATAATTTTTTATAAAAATGCTTTATTGGTTACGACTACGTTTAATTTGTACATTCTCGCTGAACTTATGAGGATGTTATGACGTGAGATTCATACAAAACTTTTATATAAATTACGAGTAGGTTTTGTTGTCACTCAAGCTAAATAGCTAACATTTAGTTTGGTGATTTGAGTGAAACGTGGCAGCCGAATGCAGAACACCCTTATAAAAAAAGTCAAAAAACAAAAAACCCATTAGTAAAGTTTGTATGCGTCTAGAAAAGGATGCGATAAAAAATTTAACAAATTTCAGCTGATCTTATTTATATTTAATAATATATTTATGGTTACTAAGATCATTGATTAAGTTGTTTAAACTTTATGCAAATGTAAGAAAAAATAAAAACATGAGTATCTACATGAACCTATTTGTATTATTTTAGTTTGGTTTAATCACCTACATAATTTTTGATGTTGTATATTTGGTATGGAGTACATATGTTTTTGATCAGCACTAAGTCCTTTCCTTTCTTTAATACCGGTTTTATACCCGTTACTCGTAGAGTAAAGGGGTATACTAGATTCGTCGAAAGTATGTAACAGGCAGAAGGAAGCGTTTCCGACCCCATAAAGTATATATATTCTTGATCAGGATCACTAGCCGAGTCGATCTAGCCATGTCCGTCTGTCCGGATGAACGCTGAGATCTCGGAAACTATAAAAGCTAGGCTATTGAGGTTTGGCGTGCAGATTCCTGAGCTTCTTACGCAGCGCAAGTTTGTTTCAGCAATGTGCCACGCCCACTCTAACGCCCATAACGCGTAAATCTGTCTACCGCCGGTAGGTGGCGCTTTTTAATCTCGCTTTTCTGCTTGCATATCTCCATTTCCCTTTGGTCCCTGATTTAGCTGAGTAACGGGTATCAGATAGTCGAGGTTGTGTGTTGTAGGTCTCTGGTTGTGTTGCAATCGCCTTTTAATATGTGCGCGGATATAGTTAGAAAACGGACCTGGTCTGAGGTCTGTACCATAGATTCCATAGAAAGGATTGATTATCTCAAAATGCAAAGAATATATTTATTATTATTATTATTTTTTTTATCTTCCTAGCGCTAAAGTTAACAATTTAGCTTAAATATAAAGCACTAGTCACAAGACAAAAATTACAATATTACAGAAAGTTTTACACAATTACTTTAACATATACGTTTTGATTATTTTATAGGTAATGGTTATCAATAGTAAAATTTTTAATTCTTATCTACAAGGGTGGTCAAAAGTATTTTCACAAAAAAAAAGTTAAATATATTCATAATTTGAACTTACATCTTGTTAACTTTGGCATCAATGGAAAGGTAATTTAAATGCCGTTTGAATGATACAATACATTTCTTAACACATTCAGTACTTATTGAAAAGGACGAATTTGTGTGAAAATGTCCTTTTTGAACTTTTTTCCTCGACTTGAAAACTTACATTTTTTGATGCAAAAAGTTTCTTCAAACAAAAATAATAGTAACTGCAAAAAGAATTTTTCAAAAATCATTTTGCTTATATTTTTTATGGTTTTTTAAAGGTGACACTGTCGGAAAAAATTTGTATGAAAAAGAGAAAAATATGCCTAAAATGCATGTTTCTAAGCATTTTCAAAAAATCATAAAAAATATAAGCAAAATGATTTTTGAAAAATTCTATTTGCAGTTACTATTATTTTTGTTTGAAGAAACTTTTTGCATCAAAAAATTTAAGTTTTCAAGTCGAGGAAAAAAGTTTAAAAAGGACATTTTCACACAAATTCGTCCTTTTCAATAAGTACTGAATGTGTTAAGAAATGTATTGTATCATTCAAACGGCATTTAAATTACCTTTCCATTGATGCCAAAGTTAACAAAATGTAAGTTCAAATTATGAATTTATTTAACTTTTTTTTTGTGAAAATACTTTTGACCACCCTTGTATTATAATGTTGCATTTATAATTAGTTGACTTTAATAATAACTCTTTCCGAAACTGTCTAGCACGTCTTTTTTAAACTGTGTGGTCAATTTTTCCAAATATTGAAATAAAATCTTGCTATGTTGCTGTATGCTACGATCAATTCATTCGATCTTATTGAGTCATAATATTCTGGATCAGTTTTATTTGCCGTAGTTGGTAAAGTTCTGTTAAACACAATTCCAAGGTTATTTGCGTGACTTACATATTCAATCTTATCAGTATCAACCCTGCCTTTGCATTGGTGCGTTTATTTCTTTTTTAAAAATAATCAAACATTAAAATTTTTTGGATTTATTTGAAGACAATTGTTCTTTGCCCAATTGCTTACTAGTTTAAGTTCACTATTAATGACATCAATACATTCAGATATACAGCTATAGGGACGACTCACATACATTTGCATATCGTCAGCATACATCTGCACTTCACAATTAGACAAGACATTTGGAAGATCATTCACATATATCGAAAACAGTAACGGTCCAAGGACCGAGCTCCGTTACAACACATTGAGATCGATCCATTAGGTATGTTCTTATCAAGCTTGTAGCTTGGTTTGAAAAATTGTATAGTTTTTCTAACTTAGTGCACAGAATAAAATGGTCGAAAGTGTCGAAAGCCTTACTATAGTCTAGCAATGTAAGAAATGTAACTTGCCTTTTCCGAAAGCCATGTTGTCGTGTATTTAACAGTGAATTATCGTGAAGATACATATTAATTTGTGTGGAGACTAGTCGCCCAAATGCTTTATATAAAAATGAAAGTATAGATATCGGTCTATATTCACCCTTTGTTTTTGGTATGGTAAGTATTATGGCTGTCTTCCAACATTTTGGAAATGTAAAAGATGTTATTGCAATATTAATAATGTGTGTTATGTATGCGAGTAGCCTGGGGACAAGGACAAGTAAAACTTTGGGATGTATATTATTGCATTTGATTTTATAGTTAACATGGACTGTACACTGTACACTGGACATCACACTGACTCACACAAACAAAACTAAAGCTAGTATCACAGTTTTTGTTTGGCAATGTGTTTAGGTACGGATTGTTAGTTTGATCAGGTACTTCAGGTTGACATTTCACAAACGTAATATTTAATTCATTAGCATTAATATGGCAAGCTGTCTCTTCTCGTTGTTTTTTTACTCAAATACTTTTAATATTCTTCCAGAATTCCTTTCCAGATGACACATTATTGAATTTCTTTTTAGCTAACCAGCATGACTTATTTACCTTTATTCTCAAGGAACTGTATTGCTTGAGCAAGTAATCTGTTTTATAGCGTTTCCACTTTCTATAGGCCCTATCACACGCATGTATGATAGTTTTTATTTCCATGCTAGTCCATGGGTTCTCATTCGGCTTAATTATTTTTGTCCTGAGGGGTACATATTTGTTATATAGAAGCTCAATATTACCGTTAAAGAACTCTAACTGTGACCGATAAACATTGGGAATTGTATACAATGTTTGCCAGTTAAAAGAGTTAAATTCTTAGTCTAGTAGCGTATAGTTTATATCTTCTAAGGTCCGATAAGTTATGGATTATTCCTCAGCGCTTAATTCTATGCTATACGTCATGTAGATAAGATCATGCCGCGAGAAAACTGGTTACCTGATTATATAAAAGGATTTTACTTGAGTCATTAACGAAAAATGCGTCAAGTAAGGTTTGTGAGGAATTTCTAAAATGGGTAGGGTGTAAGACATTTTCTGGCTGAGTGATAATAGTTCTGCGCAGAGACTAGATTCAGTTAAAAGATCGCTGTTGAAATCACCGGTTAAAACAACATTTTTGGAATTGTACGTTAGGGCAGTCAGATTGGCAAGTAGATCTGAGTAGCAAGTAGTACGATGTGGTCCTCATACTTCTACAAGTAAGTATTCTATTGCACCCTCTAACGCTTGCTGACATATAACTTTACATTCAAATTGTTTACGGACTAAAATAGCAACACCACCGGCATGATTTACTCTATCAGAACGAAACAGATTGTCATCAGCACAACGAATATATGAGCTACTAATATCGGACGTGAACCAAGTTTTGGAAACACAGATGATATCGACTTTTGAATTTTCGAATAGGTACCTGAACTCATCGATCTTATTAGTCAAACCTTGCGCGTTTATGTGACACACTATCATACCAGTAGTTTGTTTACAAAGAATTCTGATTAATGCATGGCTGTTAAGGTTTGGAGTAGGCTCGATTGCAAATATAAGTAATAACGAGACCTGCACTACACACACAGAACCACACATAATATACCAAGAGTACGAATTGTAATTGAAAGTAAATATAAATAGAACTACTGATACCTTAAAATGGACATTTAGAACATTTAGACGAGCTGCATTAACGAAATGAATTAGGTCGCTCCATCCTTCGTTGAGTCAGTTTCAGCAGGTGTTTTATGCAGATCAGGATTAATGTCGTTAAGGGCCTTCATGTTCTCAACGCATAGGACCTCATCACTGCCCGTCTTCTTTACGTGGACTGTTGCTCGACGAGTAAAGACAGCCGATAGGGTCTTCTGACGCTTCATTTGCATGACTGCTTTAAAAATCTCGTAGTTTGTTTTAGTTTTAGTCAACTGTTCGTTCAGATAAATTGGAGTGGGCGACTCTATACCAACGTAACTTAGAGAAAGCTGGCTTTTCGATTCACGCCATAGTGCACCCACGGTACGCATCAGGTTAACCTTGTCTTCAAGTCAATCGAACTTGATCATTATTATAGGGTAAACTATAGAAAGACCGTTCCGAGGAAGATATCTCGAGTTCTTGGGGTAGGAGTAACTTTAAGGGTAAAGCAAAGGGTGTGAATCAATGCCCTCACATCTTCGCCTTGATTAACTGGTACCCCATGAAGGCGGAGATCTCACGCTGCAACTCAGATGCAGACTAGGCGATTGACTTGCTCTCGCAAGGCCCGGGTTTCCGCGACCTCACTCTTCAAACGCTCGAATCTTTTTATTAGTTCCGACATATCACTGTTAATAGCGTCCAGCGAAATAGTAATTTTGGTCGTGATGCAATTCTCCAGTTCAGTCATAAGGTTTTTAAAAAAGTCAGTTAGCTCAGCAAACTTCTGACATATTTTTTCCCAAAATTAACTCAGTGGAAGTTTTTTCCATGGTTCTCTTTGCTGGCGGTACAACCCAAAATTATTAACGATGATTACGAACAGGTAAGCAAGCCAACCCATCAGGGAAAGAGCTAGTTTATAAAAAGTATTGTTACCATTCACAGGGTACGTACATCTGTTTTGATTATGAAAAGTGGAGTCAGCGAAGGAAGGAGGGATTCACTTTTGAATATAAGTACTTAGAGGACAAGGAGCTGAATTGAAAATGTTGCGATGTATTTTCTTCGTTCGTATATAAGAAAATCAATCCATTAAAATAATAAAATAAACAAATACCATTTTATTACGAAATCACACATCCACAATCATAAAACATAAACCCAATAACAGTAAGCGAGAAAGAAATCAGGTAAAAACGCAAATATGCCGCTGTAAACATAAGTTAAAAGGAAAATAAACTGTGATACTTTTTTGAAATGCATGTAAAAATAATTTTTTATAAAAATGCTTTATTGGTTACGACTACGTTTAATTTGTAAGTTCTCGCTGAACTTACGAGGATGTTATGACGTGAGATTCATACAAAACTTTTATATAAATTACGAGTAGGTTTTTTTGTCACTCAAGCTAAATGGCCAAAATTTAGTTTGGTGATTTGAGCTCCCCCGATTCGCGTATTGTATAAACGTGGCAGCCGAATGCAGAACACCCTTATAAATAAAGTCGAAAAACCCATTAGCAAAGTTTGTATGGGTATAGAAAAGGATGCGATTAAAAATTTAACAAATTTCAGCTGATCTTATTTATAATTAATAATATATTTATGGTTACTAAGATCATTGATTAGGTTGTTAAAACTTTATGCAAATGTAAGTGTTGGGACACCCAAGGTCCCAGAGGGTTTCCACTTATTTCAAGCTCTGGTTCACAGCATACAGATAGCTGAAATCTTTATTCAAATTCAAATGAGTTCACAATTAATCAAATTATGAACATTTTTTCTTACACTTGTGGTTTGCCGCTCTTTAACTTCTCATAGCATCATTTTCTTCTTACATTCCTAAGTTTTCCAATACTAACAATATAGAGATGACACTGGCTAGCAGTGTTGAACAACTTAACAGTATTTTTAAACTAACAGACTTTAAATTCAAATAAATCGACTTTAGAAATTGGACAGTTAGCGTGCGGCTAAAACTTCTTATTAGCCTCGCAACATTCCCCACCTTGTGATTCTTCTGCGTCACTACGCTGAATATCACCAATCCTTAGATGTCCAATTTAGCCAGTTTAACTGCCGGGCGAGTAACGAGTCCTCCCGGTGTACGCACAACACCGCTACGAACTTGTCCATCCTTCGCCAGATGAACATCCACGACGATCCCTTTAGGCCAGGAGTTTCGCTTTCTTGTCTCATCAACAACAAGAACCACGTCATTCACGAAAATTGGAGCTGGGTTCGGCTGAAACCATTTTGTACGCCTCGTCAGGGTGGGTAGATACTCTCGAATCCATCTTCTCCAGAAACGGTCTGCTAGTTGTCCAGCAATGCGGAAATGCTTGCCAAGCCTAATCCGTTGGATTCCATCGCACCGCGTTCCCGTAGACCACTGGAGTTACCAACCAAGAAATGGTTTGGTGTAAGGGCTTCCGAATTTTGCGATTCCAACGGAATATAGGTCAATGGTCTTGAGTTTAAAGTGCATTCGACATCGGCCAACGCAGCGCGAAATACTTCCTAGCGCAGTCCGACGTTCGACAGAATATCCGTCTGGATTGACTTTGTAGAACGCACCATACGCTCCCAGCTGTCGCCCATATGAGGCGATCCCGGAGGAATAAAGGTAAACGACATCTCCGGATACTTGTTTTCCACTACTGACGTTGATATACGTTTGATCTCTTGCGCGAGTACTCTGCTGGCTCCCTGAAAAGTCGTTCCGTTATCGGATAGCAACTTAAGAGGCACACCTCTGCGTGCAGTAAATAGTTTTAGAGCCAGTAAAAATGAATCCGTTGAAAGAGATGGCACCAATTCTAAATGAACAGCGCAAACTGTTAGTCAAGTAAATAAAACTCCCCATCTCTTCTCGCGACGCCTTCCTACAGCAACTTCAATCGGTCCAAAGTAGTCTACTCCAGTAAACGTAAATGGCAGTGTATGTGGCGATAGACGTTTCTTTGATAGAGTTCCCATCATCGCACACTGGGCCAGCCGATCCGATTTTTGGCCAAAAATACGTTTTCTTTTTTTAAGAAAATTACCAGACCGAGTATGGAGTCCTTTTTATAATACATTAAACTAATTTATGCCAAAGTTTCAAAGAATTCGGGCAAGCAGTTTTTTTTACCGTATTTTTAAAGTTAAAAATTCATCAAATATTGATGGAAATGAAAAAAAATCTAAAAGTCAAAGATGCTGATGTAGCTGTTCGACTTCTTTACAGAACTTTTAGAAGTCATTATTTTCAACAAGTAAAAAATATTAAATAGCTCTTCTGACTTACTTGTTTCCTAAAAGAAACTTTTTCGTTGATTTTTACTGCTTTTCTTAGCAAATGAGTACTTTGCTTTTCGAGTGCTTTTGAGTGCCATCCCCGAATGAATCAATGAATCAAAATTAAATTCTTTAATTAATTTACTTAAACCGCTCGATGCGGTTTTGCCTTAGTTTTTAATTAATTTAGTTTTAGTTGATGGCTTAATTTGTAGTCGAACCATTTTGATGAGCTTTACTAAGAATGCCTAAAAGTATGCCTAATTTTTTGTTCGTCAGGTTTAATGTACGTTTTGCGCGCCAAAATTTGATTTTAGTCTGCCTAACATCTAAAATCTACTTTTTTCATTCATTCCCGCTTCTTTTATTTCTGACACCCAAAAATCGAATGTTATATCGATATATCGAAGAGAGAAATATCAACTTTGTTGGATCTTCTCTAAAAAATGTTCACAATTTCACTTATTCGGTGCTCGAAACTCGAAGCGAACACACCATGGCTTTAAAAAAGCGGAAATTGTGGACTTAATTTCTGAATACAACAATGATATATCTTTAGTAGCTGGTTTTATTGCATCTAAAGCTGGAATTTCTGATGACAATTGCATTAAAGCTATAAAACTTAAAGTTTGCAAACTGAGATCCGAATACCATGTTAAAAGGAGTTGTTTGAAAAAATCAAGTCTCAATTTTAACGAACGTCATTCGACTTGCTTAAATTCATTATTCTTATTTCCAATGACCTTAAAACGTGGTCCATCCGAGAGGGGTCGTCCAAAATTAAAATTTTCGGAAATGTCTAACAGGTCGCAGCGTCGAGAAATTTCAAATATAAGTGTCAAGCATAATAATGATTCACAGAAGCTTCTCGAAGCTGGGACATATGCTGCGAAGAGGTCTGGGGATAAGGTATTTCTAATAGACCGGAATTAAAAAGGGAACTTTAAAAAAAAAGTGCCGATGAAGCCTTGGCTTTTTTTTAAATAATTCGTTTTCTAAAGCGCAATATACTGCCATTCGAATATCGTCGAAGGAATCTGGTGCCGACGTCTGGCCTTCTTATAATACTTTAAGAGAGGCTAAACATAAATGCCGTCCGTCCGCAGAGACTGTGAAAATTTCCGAAGACAGCGCTGAAGTTAAGCTACAAGCTTTAGTGAATCACACGACCCAACGGCTTTTAACTTTATGTTCAGACTTAATAATAAGTTTAGGCAGCAATTCACTTGACTTGCAGGCTATATTTTCCTATGGGTTTGACGGTAGCAGCGGACGTTCTGCTTATAACTAAAAATTTTTGAATGGGCCTGGAAAGGATGAAAATTTGTTCGCAACAACTCTAATTCCTCTTAGAATTATTGTAAGACCATCTGGCGAAATAATTTGGAACAATAAATCGGCTCAGTCCGACAAATTTTGTAGGCCGATAAAGTTACAATTCGTGAAGGAAAGTAAAGAACTGATTTTATCGGAGTACAATAATTTGGAAAAGGAGATTTCTAGTCTACAACTGTTCCAAAGGATTACTGAAAATACCAATATTTCAGTAGATTTCGTGCTATCTCTTACATTAATAGACGGAAAAGTTCTAAACGTTTTGACAGGCACAAAATCGATGCAAACATGCCCCATTTGCCATCAAAATCCCAAGGATTTTAATGTAAATGCCAATATTGAGGGTCGTCTTTTTGTGTCAATAAAATCTGCACTTAACTTCGGCATAAGTGCATGCCTATATTCGGATTTTTGAAATGTGCCTACAAATATCGTACAGGCTGAATATAAAAAGACATCACGTTCGGTCCGAGGAAGACAAACTGGAATTTAATTCCAGAAAGGCTTATATTCAAAATCAGTTTTGGGAAATGCTGAGCCTAAGGGTAAGCCAGCCAAAGCCCGGCGGGTACGGCAACACCAACACAGGAAATACTGCCAGAAGAGCCTTCAAGGATGTCGACGTTCTTTCAAAAATAAGGGGCTTAAAATCCGAGCTCCTTTATAAGTTAAAAATTATTTTAATAGTTATTAACTCAAAACATGACATAAATGATCAAAAATTTGAAAAATATGCTTTACAAACAGCTCTTTTTTATATAGATGCATATCCGTGGTACCCAATGACCGCTACTTTACATAAAATATTGGTTCATGGAGCAGATATAAATCGAACCAGTATTTTACCGGTAGGTATGTTGGGCGAAGAAGCCTCTGAGGCTAAAAAAATTTTTACAAAAATGATCGGATAAACCATACCAGAAAGTGTGATCGCATATCAACGATGTCAGGCCTTTTTTATAGATCAATGTCAGTTTCTGTTTCAATACCGCTTGCGAGCTGAGCCTAAGGGCAAGCGAATTTAATCCGTTTCGTTTTCTTTTTTGACAAATGTTGTGAGCGCTACGTTGACCGTTTATGTGGAATTTCATGGTATTGGTACCGAAAGTTACGCTAACCGTTCATGTCACTTTCGAAATCTGTATAGTTTCCATGCGGAAACTATTAAACAGGAAATTACAGCGCAGAGATGAAATGCCTGGCAGAGCGCTTAAGGGACTTATGTATGCCTAAAGGTATGCTGCATTTCTTGTACTTTCTTCGGAGAAGAACTAAAATATATATTATAAAAATATAAATGTAGCTTACATAAATACGTAGTCGAAGGCCTCGTAGCTAGCACTACCCCCTATATTAGTATTAGTTTTTTAAACTTTACTATGATCTCAAATTAATAAATATATAAATAAATTGCATACTTTTGTGATGACTTCAGAAAATGTCAAATTAACAGAAAACGAATTAAAAAACAATATTTTTCAAACAATTTTTTTCTAAGATTTTGATTATAAGAATCTAAACAGATAACAAGAAGAAAAAAATAGAAAATTTTGTTAGGTCGATTATTAAATAAACGTTCAAGTGGGAGCCTCCGAAAGTAGCAATTTTTAACGGTTCATAAATCTCAAACGACGTCATATTTTAT